TTTGTTTGTTTGTGGAGCTCACAGTGTGTTGTCGCCATGCTACAGCCCGCTGTGTTGGCTCCGCCCCTTCCTCCTCCTCCCCCCCCCTCCCCACATTCACCCATGTCGTGTGATGTTGTCTTCTCCAATCAGAGTGGTGTCCTAAAGCACAACACGCTCACGCTGGGCATGCTCTGTCAGGGCGGGGGTCACGGCCAGGGGCGCAGCAGCACTTTGAACTTTAACCTTTACAATAACACTAAGCATGAGCCCCCTGCTGGCCGCTGGCTGCCACTACCTCCACCTCCGTCTGCTAACGCTGTGAGTATCCCTCCAAGAACAATGTTACTGATGCTTGCAGTATATGATTAAAGACAACTTCAGCTACTCCCTCTTTACATTCTCGCCGCTAATACAAACTATTATTTAAACAAAACAATGACCATGCAATCTATTTTAGTCACTGTTATATGTTCCCTGTCTACAACCCAACAATAAGAATTGGAGAAAGCCATTAAAATCCCGTGGAGTTTTTTGTTTTTTTGTGTTTTTTTCTCAGCATGACTTGAAATCATTCAGTGCCCAGTGTGGCAGCCTGGTGGTGGCTTGTTTTAATGGATTTAAAACTTGAAATATGTCACTTACCATAACAACAAACAGAAACGTGTTTTTCCTTTCTCGCAGCAGTCACAGTCTGTCAAATTTTGTCTGACATGTGTTAGGCATTCCTCATTTACAGCATTGTCAATCATCTTAGGCCAGCTTAGCTGTTACCAGCTTTTAATATTGCTGTCATTTCAACACGAAGTGGCACTAAACTCTGGAAAACAAACAGATTACTACTCAGGGTTTTTTTTCCAGGGATAAACCAATATATTGTTTCAATATCACATCAGCCTCATGAAGCTGACATCTTCTGAATGTAGTGCCCATTGATTTTCTGATAATCATTAATTATCAGTTTTGGACTGGTTAAGAGGCCCAGAGGAAGGGCAGAATGACTTTAACCCTCTAAGGTCTGACTCGTGAGTGCTAGGTGATAGCCTAGCACTCATGAGTCTATATTTACTCTATATTTTGGAGACAGATAGAATTGACTCTTTTGAAAAAAAAGGGGGGGGGGGGCTATAGCTAGGGTTGGAGCCATCGCTGATGATGTCTTAGAAGGTGAAAACAAGTACTTTTTTAAAAGACACATTCTTTGTTTCTTTGCAACAGCAACAAAAACCAATATAAACTATAAACATCAGTATCTGGAATGGCAAGAGACCAAATTGCTATTTCAAACTTTTTAAAGTTTCAGTCGTTATTTCTGTGAATATCTCAGTGGTTTGATGTGGGCACGGCTCATTTAGGCTTCAGTCACACAGGCCTGGGGACCAGATGGTGACAATCTAGCAACCACCAGTTGGTCACTAAGAAAAACTGTGTATTCTGCAGTCACTTCTCGAGTATTTGGAGGAGGTTGCTGCCAGTCACTGGTTGAAATAGGTTGCAGGTTGCCATCGTTTGCCAGCAGTTTATATGGAAGATGGTGATTTGTATGCAAAAGTAGTAAAACTGGAGAAAAGTGCTACACAAAGTGGAAATGGAGTCTAAGCAAAATTAACGCCTGTTGAAATGTGTTACTTTTATTTTGAAGGGCATTTTACTTAGACTCCATTAGCATTTTGTGTTACACTTTTTCAAGGTTTTTTCTGAAAAACTCCTCTCATTTAAGCGGGTTTTTAGGGGGGCTTTTGGTGTGGAAAAAAGGGGGAATCATAAAAACAATCTGTTCGTGTTGAGCACGATATCACAGGTTTTATCACCGCCTAACATGACTTCATCTCGAAGGAGAAAAATCTGTTCCAGCTCTGTTCGTTCTTCCAACTGAATCTCAGATGA